GCAAGAGGAAGGGGAATGAACAGGTAACAAGAGAAAAGGGGAGGAGAGGAGAACAGAAGACAGAAGAGGGGAATAAAGGAACTAACAACAGCACAGCTTGCATTTCTCACACATTCTGGATGCTGCCAGGCTTTCTGACTTCATCTCATATCCCTCACCCCTTCTGTCTCTCTATTCAGCCACAAGCTCTTGACTGGACTTTGTCATATTCTATTCTCTTTTCCTTCTCTCCTCCCCCACAAAACCTCCCTCCCTTTCCTTAAATGTCCCTTGTTCAGGGAAGTATTTCTTACCCCCAGGTTAGGCCAAGTTGTCATATATATATTCCCATAACACTCTTTATTTCATTCATTATTTTTTAGAAAAATAAAAGATTAATTAATGTTTTCAATACTAATATATGTTAAGTGTTTGTCCTAGTTATCTAGTGCTGCTATGACAGAAATACCACAAATGGATGGCTTTAACAAACAGAAATTTATTCTCTCATACTTTAGGAGGTTAGAAACCTGAATTCAGGGCACTAGCTCTAAGGAAAGGCTTTCTCTCTCTGTCACCTCACTGTTTAGGAGGAAGGTCCTTGTGTCCTTTCAGCATCAGTGGGCCTGATGTTCCTTGAAGATGTCCATGTGTCTTGGCATCAATCTTCCCCTGAGTCTAGGAGGTTCTCAGTGCAGGGACCTGGGTTTAAAGGACACGCTCCATTTCTGACCTGGATCTTCTTTCTTGATGGTACTGAGATCTGCCTGTCTCTGCTCACTTCTCTCTCCTTTTATTTCTTGTAAGATAAAAGGTCATGCAGACTACTCCCCAGGGAAACTCCCCTTACATCAGACCAGGGCTGTGACATGAGTAAGGATGTTACATCCCACCCTAATCCCCCTACAAGACATAAGTAAAGATGTTACATCCCACCATAATCTCTCACAATTAATTTCCTGATAATATCAGATTACATCATGAGGGATGATTACATAATTATATAACTGCCAAATTATGTCATTAGATAAGTGCCAAACGACTGAGTGTCATGGCATGGCCAAGTAGACACATATTTTGGGGGGACACAAGTCAATCTATGACAGTGTTGTTTACTAAATAATAATAAAAACAGGCATAGCCCTTATGCTCATCACACTTGTCATTGTGATGACTCAGATAGACACGGTAAGCTCTATGAAGGCAATGATCATATCAGTCATTTATCACTACTTTTCTAGTTTCTGAGATGGTAGCTAGCACATAATAGGTACTTAATAATAATGTGTTGAATGAATAGATAAATGCAGAAAGCAGAGATTTGTGGGTCCTCAGACAATGGAAGTATCTCTGACTGGGCCTGATGAGTGAAATATTTCTGCTAGGGTGCCAGCCATCCCAATTTGACTGAGACTGGTGGATTTTCTGAGACACAGGACTTTCAGTGCTAAACCCAAGAAAGTCCCAGACAAACCAAGCTGAGTTGGTCATCCTATTCATGACCTCCCACACTAAGCAGTTCCTCTGGCTCTCCTTCACCCCAACCCTTTTCTACCCAAAATTAATCTTCTAGGCAGATCTTTCCATTCTGCCTTTAAGTGAAGGGAATATTCCTATTTCTGCCATTGCCTTCTCAAATGGTTGATTCTACTCCTTGGGAGGTTATATATTTCTATCATCAGAATTTTAAATGCTTGACCTTCATTTCTTGGCTAGCAAAATCTGATAAAGCCTGTTTTTATCCATTTGTACTCATCATCTTTTTCAACTTCCCTCAACCTTGTTTAGTTACCCAGGCCTGTCCCAGAAGTACATAATGTCCCAGACATTCTTATCCTTACCAACATTCCCAAAATCTGATCCCTCTAGTGATGCCAATTACAAGGTAAAGAATAAGTCAGTACATTCAACAAAGCAGGAATTTGTGTGCTTCTTGTCCTTCTGTGTCTGAGATACCCTCAAACAACTCTTCCATTGTTCTATGGAGCAATGCTTCTCTTCCAGTCTGAAATTCTGACAGATACAAGGGAAAAAGAAAGGCATATCTTATACACAGGCGTGCATTTGAACTTTCCATGATTTATTGCTCCTGAAATTAAAACTTACTGTTCATAGAAATGATGAACACTCTTAAAATGACCCAAAAGGCCACTGGAAACCCAAACTGCAGCCCTTTTTGTTTTTTGTTTTTTCCAAGTCATGGATTAATGGGGTAAGGGTCTTTGTTGTGGCAGGATTTCAGTTTTCTGATTCCTTTCCCAATGTTCTCTCTATGCAACATCTCCATAACACAACATCTCTGTGGATATATGTTGATGCATGAGCTTCGGGTTTTACTTTATTTAAATATTTCAACTAAACCAGCTTTATATAAGAGCCTAAAACAAACATGAACAAGGGAACATATATTCATCTTTTCATTGATGCTGACTGGTTGGACTTACATTAAGGTTTATTGAATTTGAGAACCATTTCGAAAAAGAAGAGAACTTATTATTTGACAGATCTTAAATATAAATCCTCCTCTCAGGACATTTTTGTGGTTTCTTCCAAGACATTTGCAAATAGTCACCTACTTATTTACAATGGAGTTCCATTCCAAGGACTCTGTCGTGATTCGGTTCTGATATAAATTAAATGCCTTTATATGTGTGTGTGTATGTGTGTGTGTGTGTGTGTATAATTATTGCCTTTTTTTAATCTGTATCTTTATAAATCAGATCTTTGAACCTCTGTGAGTAAACATCTGAGAATAATAACATCAACAAATTACTTACTGCAACACTGTCTGTAGTATATATTACTAACAATAAGATGTAAACACATATCAAAAAAAAAAAAAACAACAGATAGTCATAAGTGTGGTCTTCTCTCACCTACAGTGTTTCTGACACAGATAAATGGCAGGTCTCAGCTTTTGGAAGTCAGGTGGTCTACTCTCCTTGTGGGGTCACCTTACCCATCAGGCTTTCATAGGCTCTAACCGACCCCTGGGCTACTTCCCTCTCACAAGTGACCCATATTTGGTTTTCATGAAACAGTCAAAACCCCCTCTGCTCTAAAAATTAAAAACCAGTTGCCTTTGAGTTAACACTAACTCATGGTGACCTCCTGTGTATCAGAGTGGAACTGTGCTCCACAGGGTTTTCAATGGCTGATTTTTCAGAAGTAGATCACAGGCCTTTCTTCTGAGCCTCGTCTGGGTGGCCCCAAACCTCCAGCCTTCCAGTTAGCAGCACACCACAGTTAACTGTTGGCACTATCCAGGAACTCCTCTTAAAAATTTGCTCCTGTTTGCTCCTGTTTACTATCTGAGCTGCTCTCTAGTCAAGTTTTTCCACACAAATTTCTCAATCATGAATAACATACCAGTCTATTATCTACCTGAAGTCCCAGGGATCACAAATCAAGCTCTCTCAGTGTCTTATTAAACTCCCTTTTTCTTTGTGAAAGAAGAGCCCACTGTAGTGCATGCTATTGGTGCTGTACCTGCAGTCCTTTCACTCGTTGGTTTTGCTCTTCTCCCAGTTGCTTTGTTGGCTGCTAACAACTCACAGCAGCCCCTCTTCTCCATGAATGTCCCTTAGTGGAATAGGAGCTACTTCAGCTGAGAGGTAATGCCTCTCACCCTCCTAGTCAGACAATGGACAATAACTGATTGATATGGTATATAAAAGGCCAGACCCCTTGCTTTAAAATGGAGCAACCCCGTAATACAATTCATGCTCCAGAGCTCTACATTTGACCAGGCTGAGGCTAGTCTTCAGCTGAGACCACATCTTTACTTGGCTCCTTCCTGCCCTATCCTGTTTCTCTCATTTCCCACCTCTTGAGGGTGCCTCCTCAATAAATCTCAAGGAATGTTTCTAGGAATCCAACCTAAGACATAATCTACCACCTATACAAGCAGGTTGAGTGCAAAAACTCACAACACACTAATAGTTCTCTTCAAAAACCTCTTTTAATTTACCTCTGGCCACATCCATCCTTGTATGCCCTCATGAGTGGCAAGGATACCCAAATAGATATTTACTACCTCCTATGAGTTGAATTGACTCAATGCCAGTGAGTTTGTTTCTTTGGTTTTTATGGTGGCATAGTGCCTAAGGCATTTGACTGCTAACCAGAAGGCTGGTGGTTCAAACCCACCAGCCACTCTTTGGAAGGAAGACTGGGCAATCTACTTCCATAGAGATACTGCCTTGGAAATCCAAGGAGGGGTCACTATGAGATGAAATGGACTCAACAACAGTGAGTTTGGTTGTTTTGGTTTATGTAAGTCTAGGGAGCTCTGGTGGCACAGTGCCTAAGACATTTGACTGCTAACCGGAAGGTTGTCAGTTCAAACCCACCATCTTCTCTGAGGAAGGAAGATGAGGCAATCAACTTCCATAAAGAGTTACCACCTCTGAAACCAATAGGGGTCACTATGAGTCAGAATCAACTCAATGGCAATGTGAGTTTGCTGGGATTTTTTGGTTGGTTGTTTGGTTGGTTATTTAATTCTGATATAGGTGGTTTTACTCTGAAATATGAGAGATGTTTGCTTTTATTTACTTGGAGACAGGACTGAGATAGCTCTCTTTGACTTTCTGATATTATATGGGGCACATATAAAATTCCAAGTGCATGATAAGATCCTACTGTAGCTATTATTTGGTTCTTTAAATAATGTTACTGAGGACTCATTGTATGCTACATGTGAGGCTCTGTGATAAGCATTCTTTCATAATGTCTTCACAGTGACACTTTAGGGGGCACAGTGTTACTAATTTCATGTTATTCTCATTCATAAAGCTGGATCTCAGAAGCCATTCAATGCCTGCCCTAGTTCCAAACCCAAGTCTGCCCAATTCTTTATCAAACAGCTTTCTCACAACACCATGATTTCCTACCCTGAAATTTCTCTCCCTTTTCCAGTCCAGTGCTCCTATGGCCTCAGTCAGCAGTGATTTGAGCTCTAGGTTCTAGCTCTTTCATGTTGACACTAAAGTCTTTTCATTTTCTTCCTCGCCATTCAGATCTGTGTGACTTCTGAAGAAGAACAAGATGGCTTTATTAGAGTTCTCAGTGGAAAGAAGAGAGGCCTTGTCCCCCTTGATGTCCTAGAGAACATCTGATTGCTGGCCCCTTCTCCTCGTGCAGTAGGCAAGCTCTACTGGCAATGCTGTCTGCCTCATCTCACACTGTGTCAGCCGCAAGGAGTTGTCACACTGACCTGGCCACCAGGAAGCAGTGAGACAAGACTGGAGGAATTGAGACTATGGAGTAACACCAACAAAACAGGGGTCCATCAGACAGCATCTCCAGGGTGGCGACGAGGCTAAGGAGAGCCTGCTGGCAGAGCCGAGTTCCACACCTGGCAGCAGCATTAGGGCTGTAAACCAGCGCTGTCCTCCTGGACTCACCTCCCTCTCTGTCCGTGCAGAGTAAGCTAACCCGCTGGAGTGTGCCCCAGTGTGTAGTGTGGCCCCAAAGGGAGGTTTGCATACATGCAACCAAGTGTGATTCTGGTTCTAGACTTTCATCCCCAGTACCAGCCAGTCAGCATCATTACATTGCAGACCCCAGGCAGTCTCTCTGCAGAGCATTCAGAAGGCCTACTTTCTAGCCCCCAAAATTCCAGGTCTCCCTAAACCACTCTCATTTTGTGACTGTGCTGCCCAGAATGGCAGACACTTTCTCTCTGCCTTCTAATTAAGTGTTGGTGGTGTACGTCGGCTAGGAGGGCTAAGTTGATATGGCACCAACTGGGAAGACTTTGTCTGCCCAAAGATTTCTGATGGCAGTACTTCCTTCTGCTCTAGTTGCTGACAGAGATGACAGAGTAGGATACAGTGCAGCATGGATGCAACTCGTTATTCATAAATATAAGGAGTGGAGGGAGCAAGTGGTGTAAGGTGGGAAAAGAGCCCTTATTTATTGAATCTTACAATGTCCTTTTAGTAATATTCTCTCAGTCAACACACAAAGGCCGTGGAGTCTGTGCCCAAAGAGAAAAGGGAGCTGGGGAAGAGAATGTGGCAAAGGTCTCACTGATGAGCTCTATATTCATTCTAAAACCTCTGTATTTGGGAGCTCTGGTGGCATGGTGCCTAAGGCATTTGAGGGGAGCATTTTTCATCCCATCCTGTAGGACTCTCTGTAAGAGGCTGAGTCCATCTTGCAAACAACAAGAAACATGGAGAACTAACCACAGAATCTTAGAAGAAATGTAGCCAAATTGGATTCCATTCTTCTTTAGGGCAGTATATTATACCCTAGCAGATGTAAAATGGAAAAGAAGCCTTAATGCTTCAAGCAGAGGGACTTGGGCCTATTTAGCATCAACTAGGGGAATCACTATTACTCTGTACTTGTACTAATGTTTACAGGAATACAATCTACTGTGATGCCTTCCTCCTCAAGCCTCCTCCTAACATTCTAACTTGCATCCTATTAATCATTAATATGGTTAAATTTTAATTCACAATGACCTTGGAATCAAAGTCAGTATAGTTTATTTTGTTACAGAGCAATAAAATCATTAGCGCAACTGGTTTTTCAAAAGACCTAAATGGATGCATCCTGTGCATGTAAGCTTTATTTTCTGAACCAAATCATGAGTCTCCATTCGCTTCTTTTGCTAATGTTCAGCATGAAGGTGAGAGCTCAGACAGAAGGGCCGCTGGTCTCATAGTAGTTTAGATGCCTTACTTTCATTTTAAAGCCAGCAAACAGAATATCCTCCCTCTCTGTGATACAATGTGCAAAACCGATTGTACGGAGTCAAGATGGATTCTTTGAGAGCCAGGTGGATGATAGGACTGCCTCTCTGTAAAACTGAATGCTGAAGTATAAATTCTCTTTGCCTCAAACTCCATATTCCATTTAATAAAGACAACACAGTAGCTGGAAGGAGCATGAAATAACATGTGTCCTGATCTCGTCTCTCTGGTGGGACATCCATTGAAGTGCTGGTACAGTGGTATCATATCTGATGCACATTTAATTTATACAAATTCAGTTGCACATGTTCAGCAAACAGAAAATTTCCTTTATTCATGTTCTGTTGGGGAAATATAATTAAAAACAAAATCTATTGCCTATCCAGGAAACTGCTCCACAAAAATATAAGAGAAAGAAAAGTTTTATTATTGAATAAGCATTTAACCAGAATGTGATGTGCATTTCAGGCAGTCTGTAAAAGGATTGCAAAGATGGAACGAAATCTTACCTTTTATATAGCAGTATGGATGCAACCCATTATTCATGTTTGCAAAATAAAATTGCTAGTTTTCTAGTATCTTTATGGCAGAATAGCTTAGGTTATGCTAGTCTCCTTTAAGAAAACTGGGAGGTAGAGGAGGAATGTCTGAAGTTATATTTTAAAGAAGTGGCTGCCAGGTCCTTGAGTTAACACCTTAGATTTACAGACTTTTCAAAAAGACAGAAAAAATTTACAATCACAAATTAATCTAAAGTGAATATGGAAGTACAGGGGAAGAAGAGAGCGTCTTCCCTTACTTTCAAAAGAGAGAATTAAAACATAACATTTTCAATTTGGATTTGTCCTTTTAACCCCTCTCTCCTTTCCAATGTGATCTTAACCTCCACAGTTCCAAAGAAAAGGGAGCCACAGCCAAAAAGCAAAGAGAAACAGAATATATTAATTATTGGCATTTGAGTTTCCAAGGGCCCAAGTTCCGAGTCACAAAGGGTAATTTAGGGGATTTTCAAATGGGTTTCATATGTAAGTTATTTTTGCCTTACCTGCTACCTTTTTATCTTAATCCACAATAAAAAATAATTCTGTTGTATTCCTGTCGCCATGCTGTCTTCTGGTTTCCCATCTTTCATACACTACTCCCAATCAAGTAACTCAGCAATGGTAAGACATCTTTTACAGATTAAACACAGAAAATCAAGAAAATGAATCATAGGTACTGAAAATATGTTCTAAGAGGGAAAAATGGAGATCAAAGAAGTTGGGATATGTGGCAGAAGATAAAGTGGTTTCTAGAAACTGCCAAACAGAAGAATCAAGCATCTTGCAAACAACCAGAAACATGGAGAACTAACAACAGAATCTTAGAAGAAATGTAGCCAAATTGGATTCCATTCTTCTTTAGGGCAGTATATTATACCCTGTTGCTGCTGCTGCTTTGCCATCAAGTCGGCCCCTACTCATAGCAACCCCTCCTTGGGTTTCCGAGGCAGTATCACTACGGAAGTAGGATTGCCCAACCTTCCTTCCGAGGAGATATTATACCCTAGCAGATGTAAAATGGAAAAGAAGCCTTAATGCTTCAAGCAGAGAGACTTGGGCCTATTTAGCATCAACTAGGGGAATCACTATTACTCTGTACTTGTACTAATGTTTACAGGAATACAATCTACTGTGATGCCTTCCTCCTCAAGCCTCCTCCTAACATTCTAACTTGCATCCTATTAATCATTAATATGGTTAAATTTTAATTCACAATGACCTTGGAATCAAAGTCAGTATAGGGGCTGCTGTCAGCTAATAGGATGTGCACTCAATCGGGACAACTTTCCCAGCCGTAATATGGAGTGTTGAGGGCCACAAGCTACTCATCTTTAAGGAGCACTTCATGAAAAATGAAATCTGTTACAGAATTCCAGAGTCTGAAGGAAACAGACCCATTAGATCCTGGGCTATGAGGAGCTTGAGGGCTGAGTGTCTGTCTGGGGAGAAGGGAAGAACAAGATGACCACAAAGGCCCTTTCATTTCTGAGATTTTATCCTTCTAAGATGTAGGTTTTCACCATCTTAGTCTAAATCCTTACAAATAAGCAAAATGGAGTTGGTTGGAAGTAATTTTTGGAAATAGAATAACTAAGATTTTAGGGAAACTTATTCTCTGCTTCAAACCACTCAACATTTTTTTATTATTATTATTTTTAGTTACACAATCCTGTTTTCCCTGGCTGGCACAAACAGGTAATCACTCAACTACTAGCTGAGAGGATGGTGGTTTGAACCTACCCAGAGGTGCCTCCGAAGACAGGCCTGGCAATTTGTTTCCAAAATGTTACAGCCTTGAAAACCCTATGGAGTAGTTCTTTCTACTCTGCACACAGGGGGTGGACATGAATTGAAATCCACTCAAGGAAACTAACAATAGCAACATTTCTGACCACAGACATGTTGTTGTGTGTCATTGTCGATTCCGATTCACAGCAAACCATTGTAACAGAGTATACTATGTGTCCGCCTCCCTAGGGTTTCCAAGGCGGTAATTTTTATTTTTTTAACTTTTTCTTGTGATTTGAAGGGAAAGTTTACAGAGCAAATTGGTTTGCCATTCAACTGTTCCTACCTGTTTTGTTTCATGACATTGAATGCAATCACCACAAAGTGATGATGTTCTTCCCACTTCTCCCTGTGGTTACCATTTCCATTTGTCCTTCTTTCTTATCCATTCCTGCCTTCTGAGCAATATCCCTGGACAAATGCTGCCCTTTTGATCTCACATGGCTGATTTTTCTAAGGAATGGATACCTCCCTGGTGTTATTGTTCACTCCATAAGCCTGTCTATTATTTGGCTGGAAGTTGAGCCACACACATAAGTTCAGTTCCAGGCTTGATGGATAGCCCAGAAGAAGATGCCAGGTCTTTTCTCCTGTGGAGTGACTCATGGGGTCAAACAACTAACTTCCAGTTAGCATCCAAGCACTTAGCCATTGCACCACCAGGGCTCCACCAGTAGATATACCTACTGTGTAAATTTCCATACCATTTTGTATTTATTTGTGTACATATTTACATATATGAGTTTATTTTACATGCAGCAATCATAACTCATGTATTTTTCTACATTGTTGTTATTTTGGGGGTAAGAGAAATTTGCTTGATTAAATTTCTAAGAATTCTTCCCAAGTTATATGCACAAATCTTTATCCACTGCAGTCATCACTACAGTGTTTCATAATATAGATTTTTTAGCACAATATTTCTTTTCATCACTACATGTGTGTCTTTATCCCACCATCTCTTTCATGTTATTTTGACCTTATTTGTTGTATAAATGCTAGGTTTATCTTTCTTCCATTATATTACAACATCTTAAAGACAAAGAACACATACTGTTCATTTTCTAATCTAAGCATATCTTA